ATATTTTATCTTTCAAGTAGGTCCTCAAATCCAACGAGATGTGAAGCACACGGCGCATCCCAGAGTGGGCCCAGTTGGTTGCGCGCGCTTCAGCTACGGCTATCTTGATAACGAATCTTAATTCAGGAAGAATCAAGAGGGTTCTGAAAGAGTTCATGTTAAATTACAGAGAGGAGTACACTATTCAACAAGAAACGCAGCCTTCAGCGTCAAATTCACAAGCATGTAACCTTTAAAGTTGAGACCCGCTAAACAATTTTACACTTTTTGCAGAGAGAAAAGCACGAGGATTTTGAATCTGCTCCTACTTCAGTATGTAATCGCTCCTGCAAGGAGCTATAGTCGTTGGGATAGTGCTAATGTAGCGAAAAAGTACCTTTCGGCGGTACTCGGGCAAAAATCCTCAACGTGGCCATTTTTTAAATAGTAGACGTATTTAGCAGTTAGTTGCCTCATAGAAAGAGCAAATCTTCTAGTTTATGATGACGTATTAACTTTCCAGATTGCATGAGTTTGAACGGAGTTATGGCTTTGGAAAGCGTAAAAACTCGCACTCATCACGAATTTTCCTCGTTAATTTTGCAAAAATCCTCAACGTGGCCATTTTTTGAGTACTGGACGTATGAAGCTGCTTTAGCGACCGTTTGATAGAGAAAATCTTCTAGTTTTGTATGACGTATCAACTTTTTGAATTTGACGGAAATGAAGCAAGTTATTGCTCCGGAAAGTGTAAAAACTCGTGCTCGTCTCGAATTTTCCTCGTTATTTGATCTAAATTTGTTATTTCTTATAACTTCCTGTAATTTCAGTACTGATTAGAAAAAGCTCTTCACAAAACCCAAATCAGCTTTCAGATTGAAAATTCGTTAACTTTGAAGAAAGTTATAATCATTTGAATATTTGTTCAAATTTCAATAGTAAATAAGCTGCTCCACGGTCAACGCCAAAGTCCAGTCAACACACAGCTGGCGAAGGCTTTTACAAGGCTTCCTTTGAGCGAAAGGGGGACGTGTAAATTGAGAACCATAATCTGTGTAGTACTAGAATTTGGTAAGTCTTGTGGAGGAAATAAACAAAGAAGAGGTGTTGTCATAGTACGCCATTTCTAGTGACTAGTTTGACGTTTTTTGCTCCGTTTCTCGTTTGCTCGTTTGACAGGACTCGTAATTAATGATCATTCTCTTGACTTTTTCACTTTTACTTTAACGATTTTTTTTAGTGGACGATGAGGTACTTATACACAACTTCATATTATTCTCTTTTAAAGAAGGGTTGTTTCATGACTTTCGGCCTACGGTGCAGACGAAGGGGGGGGGGTAGTAACTCCGAGACATCCTCGACCCATCGCTTGACCGCTAGTCCCCTCCGACGACTAAGTCAGCACTCGATGATCAAGCAACACAGTGCTAAGCCCAAAGAACGAAAGAGCTATTCTAAGCCAGAGAAAAAACGCGAATGAAAGCAAGATGGCATGGAGAACATCTTTAAAAATGGACAGAATGCATTGAAAGTGAAACTATGGATCGAATGCTACTGAGTGCGCGCACGTAATCCATTCAAATTCCGCGCCGCCGCGCGGGAAATGACTAACACTGGGCACAACTGACAGTATAGCGCAGGAATAGATGGAATCCGCCCAACTACCGTCATTCGGTAGTGCCCATGTGACCCTTCATTCTCACCGCACCATCCGCACGGATCGCAACGTCCGGAACTGCGCGAAATATGAAAGCAGCCTTCTAGTGGGGCGTCCAAAACACGACTGTTTCATTAACCAATCGAAAATATTCATTTATTCATAGAAAAATATTTATATCCACAAAAAAACTTTCAGCAACGTAAATTAGCAGCGAAATAAACAAAATTTTGTATTCTTGCACTGAAAGGATTCCACCGATAACAAATCGCAGAATTGATGTTATCAACCTCCAAGCCCCCACCCGCCTTCAAGCAGTAGCAAATCAGTCAATACCATTATCATATACGACGTCCACTTCAGCCCTTACCCCTACTGCAATTCAGTCATAAATATAGAAACAAGTATCACAAAGTCAGTGAAAGTGAATAAAGAATAGTATATATTATTAATAGTATATAGAATATGAGTAGGTTATTAAGTAGCGAGGTTAGTATAAATATATGCGAGAGTTAACGTAATTAACATGTATACAGATATAATATATATATATTATATATAATATATATATATTATAATATATAATATATATATATATATATATATATATATAATATATATATATATATATAATATATATATATATATATTATATATATATATATATATATATATATATATATATATATACTAATAATAAATAAATATAATTATGAGATAATATAGGTAAGTATATAGTCGTAAAGATACTACAAGACCCCCTAAGAGAAATAGGGTAGGATAAGGTAATATAAGTACTATTATACTAAGACCACTAGGGACAATAAGTATTAAAGATAAGCAAGAAGAGTATTGAGTTAAAAGTACTAAATAACTATATATACTACATACTATACATAATCTATTAGGACGTCAACAGCGCTTGAGATAAGCGCGATTCTACCCCATTTATCATGCGCTACCGTAACATCAGCGTCCTCAAATCGATGAGATGTTTCATACTTGCTGCGCGAGGAACAGCCTCAAATGTTCTCTTTCTATTGCGAGATAATTAGAACCGCGACGGCCAGACTCGTGCCCAAATACTCCTTAACAACACTAGCACCGATTGGAACGGGAATCGTGACACCCACCATCAAATTCTTGATCAATTCAAGAGTTCTTTTGCTGCGGCACCGACCCTGTACATATCGCAAACCACGCAGCATTCTATAGGTGCGTGGTTAAACCATTGACAAATAGACGAGAAAGAGCTTCACCGTTACCTACTCACGGCTAGTCAAGAGAGACAAGGCAACTGCACCGCATTTGAACGCACCCGTCCACCGACGAGCGAGCTCATTTATTTTAGTACTGAAGGTAATCGAGGCTTATTCTGACGCCTTTCAACGGTCTAAGTCGGTGTCGGGACTGATTGAATGCTCTCCAGCCAGAGAGCCCTCACACCCTTGCCGCTCGTCACGTCTCGAAGCCACGCTTGGTAGAATGAACGTGTTGACTCAGGACGCACCACATCGACAGAAATCTCAGCTTATAATCCTCCCCGTAAGTTTTGTCCTTGAGCTAATGTTCACGCGTGTATTACCGTGCGAACAAGTAGGCTCGGTAGTTCGGATAGGTCACAGTACACTTAATAGGCACTGCGTCCAGGTCAACCAAGATTTGATATCCGCCACGAGGATTTAATGAGGACCACCCACCGCAGCCATAGATTCCAGTGCAATGTCAAAACCCCATACATTGAACATGCAACTACCGACATTAGAGAACTGACTTACATAACAATAACGTGCGATGAGTATTCGTGGGTTTTGTGCGCGAGCGATCCCAAAGGAAAATCCCTCGCAAGTTCAGAACCCTTTCGACCGATTGTACAGAACTGGCGACCCTGTATCTATATCTCTCATATTGTCCAGTGATGCATCGCGGACCCGTGAATTGTTCTATTTGAAAAGTCAGCGTTCAACCCTAGATGGACAATTCCACCGAGAGGGGGGCGTCTTTGGTTGAAAAAAAAGGGCCTGTAAGAGCTTCGAATGCGGTCCAAACGTCGGCTATCGACCCCTTCGTTCAGCCTTAGCCTCTACACCAAGCGATCCTGGCGTGGCCGCATTCGCAACGGCATGTTCTGAGAGACTCCCAGCTGTGGTACCTGAAGCCTGCGCCGCACAGACCTGAAGCGAGGAGCCGCCAGAGAGCTCGAGCATTCAGTGGCAGTGTTCGCCGCGAGAAATCAACTGTCAAACCGGGGCAAAGCCTTCGCAAGCGTGCCCGTAAAGATAACTGCGCAACGCAGTATAACTTCTGCCTAGCACGCAACGACATGCCGGCTCGTTCGCCGAGCTATACGAGAGAAAACAAATGTAATCCATTATATACAGTAATAACGTCAATAACGACCGCTTCACACCACATACAGACTAATGAGACAGATTCGGTAGCCCAATCAATTCTTCTTGAATCGAGACGCACACGCCCACGACTCCCCCCAACTCACGGGCTCGTGCTTTCTTCTCAAGCGACGGTCATCCATCTCACGTGCATCCCACGCCTACACGCACAACATGACAATGGCACGTACGAACCATAATGATTTCATAGCCTCATTGCACAAGGAAGTGCCTGTCTAATTGAACGCCTACTAGCACATTGTTATATAGGCAGATGCAGGCGCTCAGACGAACAGGTCCGACTGGTGGCGACCCAGGACGAATCGGGCGAAAACATCTGCTATATTATAGCTGGTCTGTAATCACTATTATAATCCAAAATTTTTCAAGCGATTTTTCAATCCCTCAGTCGCCTATTCGCTTATTCGCCCAATTCGCCAAATCAGATCAATGCCTAACACCCCTACAGTACAACGTAATTCACCAATCAAATCGACTCCACCTTTCAAATATGAGAACGCCTCCAAACGATAACAACATAGCAGTGCTCCAGTTAAATATCTGATGACATTCACCTGGTTTGAATATAAAATTCTCTCTTAGTAGCCTCACAGAGGCCAAATTAAATGACATAACATTTGCGGTCCTATACACGGTCAAGGCCAGAGATCATGTCAGTAGGCGTTATGAATGGTAAAAGACTAAAAGAACTTACAAATAACGTAACCCTACAGACGAAACCAATGACCTAGACGGCAGGGTAATGGAAACAAGCAGCTACCTTATCACTTATGAAATTAAATAAAAGCAGCAAAACAATAGAGCTACAACACGACCACATCAACGTTAAATTCCATCCGCCGGAAGTGAGCGGCTTCGGTTCTTCCCATAACGATCATATGAAACCATTCCAACAAGTACGAGCACGCTCTGCGACAGCTGCCGATTTATCAGTGATGCTTTCTTCTGCTGACTCAAAAGTCCACTTGAATTGCGCCTTGTGTGATGTGGTCCACAGGCCGACCCTCTTCATATCGCCGCCACATAATATGAAGAAGGGTTTCCATATCTGTGCAGTACTGCTTCACATTAAACAATGTAGAAGTCGTCCGAGCCTTCCATACTTTTGCGCGAATCGCCGACAAACTAAAAGAAGAAGTTAGTAAGCATAAACCTTCGATCATACCATCAACTCGATTTTCAGTCAAAAATACAACCAGAAGCCCTCAATTCAAGTCAAAATTCCGCTGATGAAGTATTCGGACGAAAAATTCGAAGGAGAAAAAAGTGCCTCAAGGTACGTGGGCATCGTCTAAGGACTGAGCCTACAAGGCGTAGCAGGAGGTTCGAGAAGAGAGGAAATTGCTCACGTTACCACTCAAGCCCTCCTCCCGGCCTAAGACTCGACCCGTTATGAGGAAAGGAGAAAATTTCGTTAGATCAAATGTTTTTTTCATACAAAAAGATATGGGCATATTCGATGTTTAGTGGTTCAAACTATGAGGCCAACTATATAAATGTTTTCTATTGAAGTGATTGCTTTCCTCAGTGAAGGATGTCCCAATGAGATCTCTATTTTTCTCTCCAATTCCTTCAAAAAAGGGCCAACAAATAATTCTCGAACGGGATTCACGCGCCCCAGCTGTCTAAATGTTTAGCTGTATTTCTGCTCGTAAGGCCTCTTTCATTTTCTTTACTCCAAAATCTTTGCTTTTCACAAGTGAGTTCGGGTACGGTAATTCGGGTATGAACATTTCGATGAAATCTCTCCATTCATATCCACTCTTTCTCACGATTCTTCCATCTACGCCCACAAAAATACATGCAACGAAATAATTACGGCATATAAATTTTTGCTATGTACAGTAGAGAAAAATACCGCGTGCTCGCGCTTTTGAGGGAATCAGCTCTCTTGACACCACATCCAGGATATCTATGCATCTGCACGCTTTAAGATGGCAACTTTCATTACAGGCATTCTAGGAGGACCGACGCTTCTTTTTCAATACATTAGCCGTTAACTACAGGGTGAGATTGCTAAGCCATCGGCACGGGGGGGGGGAGGGGACAGGAAACATACTCAAAAATGGGATCCGATTGCCTCCGCTTCAGTAATTGCCTGCGAGGGTTTAAGTTGACAGCTGTAAAGTGATTTTTTCTATTGAACCAGGATGAGGCCGCTCCAGGTAGGGGCGCATCTGCTTAGTTTGGACTTCTAAGAACATAACTGGCACGCTCCCATTTCTAACCAGAAAAAACAGAAGCAAGCAATGAGATGTTTTTCCTCCCTTTGAGCATGCAGCGTCTTCGCTCAAAAGGATAGGAAATCTTACTAGCTCTTAGGAATATACTCGATCGGAGAGCAAAGTTAGTTCTTAAGTCTTTGGAGAAATGCAAAACTTACTAGTTCTTATCCGTGCCAAGTTTGACAGCGATGTTAACGTAGTCTTCCTTACTTGATGCCACAAGTTCTGGTACACCGAGAGCGTACAATTGAGAGGAAGCCACACGAGACGCGAGCGTTTCCACTAGAAATGATTGACTCAAATGGAATTTAGAGATAACTATTGCCGGAAAGCTTTTAAATATTCTCTAACGAGCAAATATGAAAAAAAAACAATCCATACATGGCATAGTGACCATGGGCGTTCCTGTCCATAGTATATCCATACCAGTAGTATGACCATTACAAAGTGGAGTGTCCAGGCAAACATCTGCCAACTGACCTCGCCTAACATGCTCCTCCTGAATAAAACTTATGATTAATTCCAACTAAAAAGAGCTCTTATGGTTAGAGGTAAGCTAATATTCATGAAAATAAAACAATTTTTGTAGACAAAACGTAATATTGGGGCATGTTCAAGATGAGCGTCAAAAACACACCTAATAGTGTGTGTTTAGCTACAAGTGGCTAGTTCGACCTGTTATCCTTCCCTTTCAGACAAATGGATGATGGCAAGGTGACATGGTGGCAGTGCTGCCATTGCCAAAAATTTGAAGCCAAGATAAACAAACCTTAGCTGCGACGTGACTGAACACTATTCGTTTTGTGTCGATATCTCGTTCAGCACAGTACTTGTGAATGTGAGCTTCCCCGTGGAATGGGAATCGAAGCAACCACAAAACACTGCGTGGCACCTGAACAAAAAAAAACGATTCTGCCGAGCTATCTCGATGGCTTGATAATATGGCACATGACTGAGAGAGATAATAACGAACGTATGGCTTGTCGAAATTGTTCAATTGAAAGTACTTGAATATTGATGGGAGATCAACACACCCGCTTTAGTATTTTAATCCACATGTCCAGTGTAGGTGGATCGATTTTGTACAGTTGATTGAAATTGCAGAAAACAACAGCATCTTCAGGCAAGTTATATTGTTGACGACTAGTCAGCAGAAGAGACTGTGGCACCTCTTCACCCGTTGCTGCCTTATGATGCATCTGAATCTAAAAAATCGATTTTTCGTACCCCGAACAAAGAGAAACATCTGTACACCAGAATATTCGACTACCTGTGTTAAGCCATTGTGAACATGGACACCATCAACAACACTACTTGCAATCAAACTACCACCAATCATTTGTTTGAGAGGCTCCGTCGTTGGAACCTGCAACAATTTTGATTAGAGATCTAAATTGAACGAATTTCGGAATAGAGATCCCCACCAACTTACCTCTACGACCGGAACAACAACCTCAGTCTTTATCTTCTCTTTTGCAGGACCATAAACCACTTCAGTCTCCCGTATTGTGTGCTAAATGAAATACTCTTGTTAGAACAATGCTACAGTTCAAGACAAAAAAAAAGGTATTTCCTCCGATTGGCAGGCAAATTTATCCGAAAAACTATAGTCTTACTTTAACATCAGCTTTGCTCAGAAGTGGCTCAAGATTGGTTGCATTCACAACAGCAACATTATCTCTTTCAGCAGGAGCCAACTTGTCCTGGAATGAACACAGCAATGATTCACGAAATAAAGGTCTGACAATTAACTCTCGCTTCAAAGCAGCGAAGACGATTTCAAAGATATAATTTGAATAGGTTAAGCTCCACCTTCACCTTGAGAATAACGCGCTCTGTTAAATGCTTCAGCATTTGAGCGTGATCTCCAATAAAGAAAGTGTGCGGCATGTAGGCCAGCTGTAAACAGTCGTTCGTAAGGCGAAAATAAGCATAAAATAAAATCTGAGAAAAAAAAAAAAAAACCTTTTCCGTATAGGCATGTGCAAGTCGAAGCGGTGATGTTACAGCGTCGGTGATAATGTAGTCCATGAATGGTGCCCCAGATGTCCCAGGGTATCCTAACCACATGACCTAAAGGTTAAATTGATAGATATTTTACAAAATATCCATTTCTTACACAAATATAGTGGTCCCAGTAATGAACAATTTCGGCATAACGAAAGTAGCATAATGAGCGCATGGATATTTCGGCCTGAGAAATTTTGTCGAAACGACCCAAGCGGGTTGCATCACAATCGTTTCGCTTCTTCTGTACACTTTCTCGTAAAATAAAATGGTAACGGCCAAACAAAAATAGTGTTGAGCAGAAGAAAGCCATGAAATGCGATAGAATTATCGCAGTAAAAGAATAAAATATGTTAAGCTCATGAAGAAGGATGACGATTAACCAATTTTTCAATCAAAAAACCACAAACGCCAAGACCCCCCCCCCTGCGCGTACGCTTCACGCATAGCGTCACATATCGTGCATGCATAAAATGAGATCGCCAGCAGCCTATTCATCATCCCGCTAATCTGTACGCAATCAGTACAAAAGGTCAATCAACCGTGAAAAAACAGAAACAAAACAAATGATCAAATCTAACTTGATTAGGAACTGCAATACAAAACCCAAAGATGCTAACCTGAATCGGAGCCGGTCTCAAAGCAAATATCTCATTCCGAGCCCCTTTTGTATAGCCATTCATGTTGATCAAAATGTGGATCCCATCTTGGTTTATTCGATCAGCAGCCTTCCCATTGCACGATATCTAGAACAAATATATCAAATAGGTATAGCGTGGCCACAGTACCGATAGCAATCATGAATTCGGCTGGCAGCTAACCTGTGACAAATCAACAAAATGCTCCGCTTCGTTTACCAGCTTTTGGCGGAAGTTAGTACCATCATTAGCAGACAAAGCATAACAAAACACCTTAAATATAAGTATCAAATAAAATGAGAATAGGAGGAAAATAGTACAAAATAGATCAGCAAATACGAGTCAAAACAATAAATCACAAAAGATGGATAAGAGCGGCGGTCGGAATTTTCAAAACTGAGCCCTCATATCTGACATTACTGAATACCAAAAATATCACAAAGAATGGAAGCGCTGGACGGCTTAATGAAAAAAGTGATTAAACTCACAAAATTTTTTTCAATACAAGAAGTCCTTTGTGCCTTCACTCTCCCTCCTTCCAAATTATAAGCCCTTCCTACAAGCTACAATCCTCCCACTGATCCCACGCTGGTTCTAATAAAACATGATATATTGTATCACAGTACCTCTATTCTAGAGCGATCATGCATTCCAGGTATCGACTGCATCAGATGACTTGTCGGGTGATTTCCAAAATCTGACGAAACATAACCAACGCGGAAGACGAGTGATACCGTTGCGAACACTCAAACGGTCCGGATAGTTGAAAGGCGGATGACCTAACATTGCCACCTAAACCGTTAGTAATAAATAGTATGTTGGCGCGAAAAAAAGAATACAAATTTGGGAATGTATCAAGCTGCAAAACAGAACCCTCATCCCAAACGTAGGTCAAGACCTAATGGAGTAGTAGTGAAAAGATGAGCGAATTCTCTGAGTAACAGCTTACCTTTTCTGTGCACAGTTGAGCATGCTTTGCAGCAATAGCGATTCGAGTTTGATGAGTCAAAGGGTAAAGCATCGAGTGGTGAGGATGTACAGAAGGAAGACGCTTCTTGCTCAGCTGTTCGTCTACTATGGCCACCAATCGCTTCATTCTAAAAATGGGTACCATTCAGCGTAGGGGTGTTTGTGGCTTGCTCCTTACTCACCGATTATCATAATCTGTCCAGTCACATATGATTTGCAGGCAGTGTGCAAGATTACAGAAAGCATCAGGAAAGTCCGGCTTTAACTTCAATGCAGTAGAGTAACTTTGTATCGCGTCAGGGATGTTACCGGAGTCCTAAAAGCGATGCATGACGATATGTATCAAGTTTAGTAGCCAGTTCAAATGTGAAAGTCTTACTTTATGTATACTAGCAAGGTTTGAATGAGCATCAGCGAAAGCAGGATTGATTTGTATGGCGCGCGTGTAGCACTGCATAGCATTCGCTGCATCACCCATCTCTTTCAGAGTATTACCCATGTTCGAGTAGGCATCGGCAAACGTCGGAGCAATCCGGATCGCTTCCTAAAATAGGACTTTTCCCCACAGCATAATCATACCTTCACCTATACCTTCACACTGTATACTGTTATAATGCATATATACAGGGGGGGCAAAAAAAGAGTCACTCCTACTCACATTCAAAACAGAATTAATTACACTTTGCCAAAACCAAACCGAATGAGCTCAATTGCATATTGAAGAGCACATTCTATTCTATCAAAAAATTACATAGG